TTTGGGTGTTGTTATTTTGAATTAATAATGAACATTATAATGGAATTTTAATATTTCTTTATTTCGATTGGAGTTAGAATCAATTGCTTTAAGGTATGAGAGATCGATTTTTCTCGATAGGAAATAATTAAATATTATCATGTTGCATCCAAAAATTCAAAGAATATTATTTGAAAGGGATCTTAAATTAAATTAGACTTGAACTCGTAAATTTCATTACAAGGACAATTTATTAATCGGCTAGGTACCAATTTAGGGCGTTGTGGGGGTGTTAATCATACCCCACACGTAACCGACTCCCGAACTCGAATTTTGGTAATGCATACCGCAAGTTTGTTGTTTTAATTAAAATTAATATTTTATTAAAATGGAAAATATGTTTTTGGGTACCCAATTACACCCTAATCAAAGATTGGTGGCGACTTCTCCAACCACATTTTATCGTTAACAGGTCATCAAATTATTTCGAGACGGGACCTCCCCTTTACCTTTTCAGAAAACTGTTTCGACACTCATATAACCTTAATAGGCCATTATCAAATGTTTATGGTTGTTTTAAATGGAAAAATATGTCTTTTTCAACCTTCAACATCCATATAAAGTAGGGAGTATCGACACTAAATTATATGATATTGATACTCTTGAATAGTATTGATATCAATTTGATACATTAGAATGCATCGTCTAATTCCAGTATCAATACTTGGATCTTGGTGTTGATACCAAGGGGTTGGTATCGATATTCCTTGAATGAGTATCGATACCCAATAAATGTTGTGCCCATATTTTAACAATAATTTCATACAATATCGAGGACCCAAAAAAATTATCTATGCTCCAACCCAAAAATAATCATTTTGAGATAAAAAAATCAATCCTAAAATCCCTCTAAACACTCAAGTTAAGGTCTTATTTTATTTCTAAAGCTTAACGGGTAGTAGAGGATCATTTAACATCAATTTCTCATATATAAACAACAAAAGCATCAAATTAATCTATGAGCATGTGTGGCACTCAAACATTCAACTTGTATTATACTAATAACCAAATCATTGCATTTATGAAGCTTAAGAAGCATTTCAAAGTTTATTATCTTGGATCAAAACACAATTGTATACTCCTTGTTCAACTTTAATCGATATTTTTCTTAGCTCTTGCACAAAAGGGCTCTTCTATCTCTTTTACTAATGAAAGAAGCAATGAAAGAGATTTCTAATGAAATACATTATTAAAGGAATCATAACGAATTTAGAACTTTTTGAATGTTATGAATAAAGTGCACAACACTCTAAAAACTACTTTTTACATAACAATTTAACTCACTTTCACATCGATCTATAAACTCCTCAAGTCAACTTTCATGCATTGACTTAGAAATTCAATTCGTTAGAATGACAATCCCTTAGTAAGCGCATAATCATAAAGTTTGTACCAATATACTCTATAAACACATGAATTTTTTGAATTTTTTTAACAACCATAAACTTAATGTCTGTGTTTCAAATTTGAGGTGTTGATGTTGTTCATAGAATAAATTACTATAAATTTATTATCGCAAAATAACTTAAAGTCTTTCTATTCAATATAATTAGTAGCCTATGTAACAAAATTTTACATATGTATTCTAATAAAAAATTTGCATTTATGTTTGATGATCACTAACTTATTAGACCTTTGATATGTGAACATATAATATTTTGTTACTAAGAATATCGTATGAACTGTTTAATTTCTATCCAATGATCCATACATGAATTACTTAAGTATCAACTTAATATCCTAAAAGCATATGTTATGTCTGAATGCGTACAAACCTGATCATAGATTAGACTCCCGATTGTTGAAGCATAAGAATTTTTTTTTGTATTTTATTAGTTTCAAAATAAAATTTAGGGAATTGATTAAGACTACATTTGGTTCATTTGATAATATGATTATCACTTGATTTACTTCTATTAAATGTGTAGTAATCGGTCAATAAATCGGATACCAATTAAGTCACTTGTGAAATCAGTAATATCATTTATGATAGGCTCGATTACGTCATTTATAGTTTTTCTTAATTTGTATATCATCGATTTTGCATCATCAAACATATATATTTTTTATTACGTCGTATAAATTCTTTCCTCAATGTTTCGATTGAGAAACACATTCTTATCATTCATCTGATGTAACTCAAGATTAAAATAAGCAACAAGCATCATGATTACCTTAAAAGGGTCTTTCGATGAAATTGGAGAAAAACTCTTTGCAAAATTAATACCTATATCCTTTAGATATAAGACTCATCTTATAACTATCTACATTTTCATTTACATCCTTCTTAGTTTTAAATATTCAATTACAACCAATTAATTTTTATATAATGGGTAACTTTTCAAACTTTATTATCTTTTATAGACTTGTACTCTTCTAGCATGACATAAATTCACTTTTGAGAGTTACAAGTTTTTGTGACCTAGAAAAAAAATCATTAAATCATTTTTTATCATTCTATTATCATCCTCATTTTCTTAGAGAATAAATATAATCTTAAATAAAAAAATTCTTTCTCACGAACCTCATTACTTATTCTTGTGTTAAGTTTTTTTTAAGAAAAAAATATCTTATCTTAAATGGAGAGTTATTCAGTTTTGCCTTTTTGAGATTATAGATTCACTTCTTTATCAGTGATAGGTATGAAAAAACTAAATATTATCAAAAGTAATAGTAGGAATTGAATTACAATCTAATTCTTCCTCAAAAGCAACGTCTTTGACCTTATTTAACCTCCCAAACTCAATATCCTTAAAAAATATTGTTATCGATCTCACCTTAATGCGCATGTACTTTTTTCATTGAAATTTGTCTCATTAAGCATAAATATAAAGTTGATATTAAAAGATATTGTGACGACAAAAATGAGTCAACTCAATATAGAAAAAATGAATAAATAAAATTAAAATCACATCAATAATTATAAGTAAATAATAAATTTAAAATAATAATTAATTTCATCAAAGATACCTAACAAAATTAATATCAAGCCTTTATATAATAATACTTAACAATAAGTGATACTCTTATTGTAGCAATTAATATTGAGGACAGATTTGCCGAATAACAGATTAATTTTTAGACACATATGCTCACATAAAATACCTTATAATTATAACACATTTATAATCATATTCCTTAAAATTTATCAAATATTAGCTTACCTTTTAATCAATTAATAATAGCATGAATCATAACTACACAGCTATCTTGATAATTCTAATAAATTAATTTAAGAAAAATATATCACTTTAGTGATATTTTGTTTTATCTAATACATTTAAAATATTAGACATCTTAAATTTAGATCTTATGATGATCGGTCAATCACTGAAAGTGGAATGAGAAGTAAACAACTTTTATATTTCTATAACTAGTCTGATTTTACTAATCATAACTTCGAGTAGTCCATGAAATTATTTTATATTTCTCATCATCGTTTCGTTTTTAGTATTCCTGATTAAATCCTAGATAAATTTTTACAACTTTTGAAAATACTATACATAACATTATCTGTTAAGAATTCTCTATATTTAACATGTATGTATTTAGAAATGTTTGATTCATGAAAAATATAATTATTATGGAAACTATTTTTTTTTTCTGAAATCACATATTTAAGTTTGATTTAAGATCATTCCCTATAAAAGATAACAAAGTATTTCCTAATAGTATTTTTGAGTGTTTTCTAAGGAATGTCATTCTCATCCATTTCTCTAGACAACTCACTTCCTTTAGAATAATAATACCCCTTAAATATATAACTATTTTAAAATGATTATTCCTCTTGTATATAATTATACAGTATTTTTTAAATTATGATTCTATTTTTTAATATTTATTATAAAATAATATGATGCATATAAAATAAAATGTAAAAACATATATTAAGTTTTTATTTTATTATTTATTGTGTATGTGGTTGATTTATATTTTATTTTTGGTATGTGTTTTATTAGTTTATTTTTTACAATAAATTTTCATTAAAAAATCAATATTTATTTTTATGTTTCTATTAATTTTCTCAAATAATTTGATATGATATTTTATTATACAATTCATATATAAATATAACATGAATAAATAAATAAATAAATGTAGAAATAAACACATACTTGTATTGGTGTAAGTATGTACAACTCTCAATATTATGATGGTACCTAAAATAAACACATACTCACACTGCTCTAAGTATGCTTCTATATTTTTAAAAATATATATATAAATAACAACAAAATATATACTAAATTATTTATATAAAAGTTTTATAAAGAATATATAAATTAAAAATAACAGAAAAAATTATATTTTCAATGAACTTTCGTGCAAACGTTTTAACTTTAATTTTGAGAATTCAATTGGTTAATAAGAATATATTTTTCAAGGATAATTTGATAAAATATCTATCATTCATATATTGTATTATTTTAACCAAACATTGTAACCTTGTATCATGTCAAACAAACAACATTCACATTAATATGTCAAGTAATGTAACATTTTGATAACTTTTTTTCCCTGAAAGTAATATTAGATTCTGTAAACCAAACGATCATTTGACTTTCTCTCCTTCGTTTTTTCTTTTTTACCCTCCTAATATGCAAATTATTCAAACCATTTTATACCCCCCTTATACCGCTCTTTGTCTTGCCTTGTCCTCAGATTACTGACTTGTTAATATCACAAAGCATGTGCTTAAGCCCAAGCACCAGGTACTGGCCAAACATGAGAAGCAAAGGCTCTTAAAAAAGTACAGTATAGAAGAGAAACAAGTTAATCTTAAAAGATTAAGAGCTTTTCTATACACACAGACATACACTTCACCGTTGATAAACTAAAGAACGAATAAGGTTGGGAATGGGTTCCATATTGACATATTTTCATTCCAATCAAATCATATGATCTACTGATCATTTTAAGAATCATTGATGAGTACAGTAAACCAACTTTTCACCACTTAATTAGCAAATGTAATGCGTAATTATCGTTTCTAATAATACTGTATTAATGAAATTCTAACTTCTACAAGAAAAAACAAGGGGGCCAAGCGTTGGAGGAATTCGTCCGAAAATTCAACAGATGCTAAAATTTTACAACTGCAGATTATTCATAAACATTCTCTGGGGAAATTTTGCAAAATGCAGAGGGGCCAAGTCTCAAGGATTTTAACAAATACCGACAAATGCATAATTGTGGTTTTTATCAGTTCCTGCGAGTCAATGCTGCGGCAATTCCACCAGCGATAAGTCCCAAAGCAGTAGCAGTGATGCCAATTCCAATAACACCATCTACATTTAAATATTCGTAATCCATTCAGTCCATGCTATCCTGTGCAATACTTAACATCACAATCACTAAGAGAATTCTAGTTATCACCTTTAGCAATACGATCCTCAACTGCATTTTTAAGGACTAAAGCTTGCCTCCAATCAGGTGCAATCTACAAAAGCAAAAGTTACATCAGATAATCAAATAATAATGAATAAATAAATTATAAATATTAACGTTCATCAAGGGATAGCACGATTGGGGAGGAAGGAGATGAAAAATGGGTCGACGCATATAATTATTTCTACAAATTGGGATGATAGGATGAATCCCAAATCACTACTCTACCTTTGAATATAATTTATCTCTACACAATTGATCATTAAATTTTTATTTTAAATGTTTTTCTTGCCAATTTTCATGGTGACATCAGTCATAATTTGAACGATCTACTTGAAGTTGTTTGACACAACTATAAAAAATTGGTACTAACCAAATCATTGACTTGATTAAATTTGGAATAGATATTAATATTTTAGGGACATCCACTCATTCGGACTAAATAATCCTCTTGCCACCACCAGCCACTATCCTTCATACAAGAATACTTCATTACCTTTTTCTCTTATTTAGACAGCAGACAGTCTTGACTGAGCAAGGGACAAGTCTAGAATAATCAGACCAGGTAAGATGCATAACCACCAAGAATCTATTTTTTGATTGAAATGGGTTAAGGAAAAGCAAATAAACCTCAAGACACTGCTCCACAAGTTGTCGACTCCTTGAGAATTCACCAGTTCTGAAATATCCAACAGCTAGAAGGTAAATTTTCTCCCTCTGTTGCAATGGAGAACTGCTATTGGACAGTGATGCTGCAAAGGCAAATATTGTTACTAATGCTATATAATGAAACTGACACGTAAAAAACAGTAGAGTAATATATTGATATAAACTGAAATTGTCAAAGTGACACATAAAAAACACTGAAGTAATAAAGAGTAAGAACATATTCAAGTTAAAAGGGAAATACCAAAGCAAAATTGGTAAGGACCATAAGACTAGCCAGAATGGAGGGTGGCAGAAGAACACACCAAATATCTCTACAGAAATAGTTTACGATTTAATTGCACATAGAAGGGTGTATTTTCGAGTTCTTGTATCTAGATACATTGCATAAACATGCATTTTGAAGAAAATTAGTACTGATATGGCTTATGATTAGAAATACAGAGCAACAAAATCAGGCCTAACAGATAAAAGCAAAGCCAAGTCAAGGATATAGTCACAATAGGTTGAAGTGGTAGTATAAAATAGAAAAATAAACTTCACCAAAGGTAACAATCTACATATAGTCAAAGCAATTAGAAGGCCAAGAAAGTAAAGTGTGGATACGAGAGAACACACATGAAACTTAGGATCATGAGTCCTATTTGACAAACATTTAAAGTGACAACACTGGATCATTTTTACTTCATTACGAAGTTACAAACAGGCCCACATGCATGCACTGCATTAACATGTCAAACGTTTATGTAGAAAACCCATAAGATAGGGAAGAGGGCATTGATAACCACAACCTTCTAGCATGGCAATACCACGCTGCACATCTTCAGCTTGCCTAGAGTGAACAAGCGCCCATGAAAGTCGCATGATGCTTTGGCTCTTCTGTTCCTCCGAATCACCCTTAGCAACATCAGCAACTTCTCTCTCACACCCCTTCCATCAACAACAAACAAGAAGCATATGAGTTTCCACGAATTACACAAATCCCCCACCCACTTTCTTCTAATTCTAAACTTCAAGAATTGGTACAATGACAAACATTCAGACTTCGGTAGATACTGATAGAAAACTTTTTAATAATATAAACAGCTAGATTCCTCAAATCCTATGATTTTTTCTCTCTTCAAGTAAGAAAAAAAAACTATAGATAACAAGATTACTTGACCATGAATGTCAAATTTAACAGATAAATAAAAAATCAAAGATCATATTATTGCTGGGAATCCAATTCGAAAGGACAAAAGAAATTAACAGAATAAATGGAAAACTTGAATGTATACTAACGGCAATGACATCGCGGTCACACCAAGGGATCTGATCGCCACCGCCGAAGAAGGTTCCGATGGATTCCAAGAATTGGCCGATCTTCGCTTCCATTTTTTCAATTATCAGTCACAGTTGTATCAACAAATTTTAATGGATGATTCAGTTCGATATTTATGGGTTTCGTTTATTAATTGGGATTTGATTTTATAAATTTTTTTCCCGTCAGAGCAGAACTTAAGGATTAAGAAATTGACTGTTTGGTGATTGGTAGTTGCCATGCCGCGTGAAGTATTTTTAAGTTTCTTCTCTCCAATTTATTCTACAAAATTGCGCGCACTATTCGCCACGTATACTCAAACTTAATCTTGATATTTTTGAGAGAAAATATCCTAAGTGAGATAAAATTTGTCTTGAGAGAAATTGTCTTGAGTGAGAAGAAAATTTTCAAAGAAAATATATCAAGTGAAATGAAATTTATTTCGAGATAAACTATTTCGAGTGAGATGAAAATTTTCAAGGAAAATATCTCCAGTAAGATGGAATTTTGTTTCGAGAGAAACTGTCTCGAGTGAGAAGGAAATTTTCAAGGGAAAATATCTAAAGTGAAATAAAATTTTTGTTTCGAGAGAAACTGTCTCGAGTGAGATGAAAATTTTCAATAAAAATATCTCAAGTTAAATAAAAAGTTTAGTTTTGAGAGAAATTGTCTCGAGTGAGACGGAAATTTTCAAGAGAAAATATTTCAAGTGAAATAAAAATATAAAATTTGTTTGGAGGAAATTATATCATGTGAGACAAAATTTATGTTTCTAAGTGAAATTGTAGGGAGACAAAGATTTTGAAAAAATTTAAAGATATCCTCAAGAATGAAAAAAATAATTTTAAGAAAGATGAGATTATTTGAAAACATGATGTCCTCGAGCGAGGAGAAAAGTATGATATTGAGAAAGACAAGATTTTATTGATTATTTTTTATGCAATCTCAAGAGGAGGAAAAAAGTGATCTTAAGAAAGACAAAAATTTAAAGTATTCTCATGGGAGAAAAATGATCTCAAGAAACAAAAAATTTGAATATCTTCATGAGAGGAAAATAATGAATAATGAATGTTTGATGCAAATATGCCAATGACGAAAGTACATGCTTTCATAAATGATAATGATGCAGAAGTTTGTAGGAAGTCTTTATTCTTGAATTCTTTAATCTTTCTCATTATTTTTCTCGAGTTTGTCATCGTAATTCTTGGCTTGCAAAAATTTGTTCTTCATGTCGTCAATAAAATCTTATTATAATGTTTCTTCTTTTTTCCCCGACATTGATCTAAGCATCCATGTATGGGAGGCATTTTTCAATTTTCAAGATACATTCCCCAAAGAGACTATCTTGTTCGAAAATATTCTTTCCTTTTTTTCAAAATTTGAAAAAGTTTTTTGAAGAAACAAAATTATGCCCCTTGTTTTAGGCTCACAATTGGAGCAAATTGTAAAACATTAGTTCATTAATTATCAAACAAATTAATTACCATTTTAATCCTTCAAAATTATCGTTCTTTGACAAGTGTGGAGACTAATGATTTTGAGATTTTGGAATGGAAAGCGTTTTGAATTGGCTTTTTGGTTTAACATTTCTGGTTCTATGATGTTTCTTGATTTGATACGTTCATCATGTTCATCTTCTGAAAATGTCCACCAGTTCCAAGCTCTAATGAATGCTTCTAGTGTGTGCGGTGCTTTCAAGAGATTCATAAGATCACTTTTATGCAATTGTTGCACAATCTTCACCTTCGAGTCGCATTTCAAGTTTTTAACTCGAATCTTCCTTTTATTTCATGATGCCCTTTGCGGATTTTCATATTAAACCATCCTTTTATTTTTTATTTTTCCAAACAATGCATTAAAGTTTTTAAAAAAGTTTTAAAATAAAAGATTAACTCTAATGTATGGAATGAATCTAAAAATAATCTCTTACACTTAAAAATTCATATATGATTAGAAAGGACTTTCTAGGCACGTAATGTAGACTATGACTCACGGTTATGAAAGAAAGGAATATAGGCCCAAACATGTGTTTAAATGTTATTGAAACAAGGATTAATGCATTTATTTAGTTTTGCTTGAATCTGTTTCATCATGCTTCTTTTTTGGATCCCACTAGAGTGCCCATTTGTGGTTTTTCACTCTAGAGGTCATTTTCTTTTAAAATATGGATCTTTGAACTAGCTTCAGTTGACCAATATTGTGATTTGAGATTCAATAGAACCATTGCATCTGTGGAAATATTTGCATGTGCCCCTTTTTGTTCTCCTTACTTGTTGAACTAGCGACTGCAGTTTGATTCGAACATAAGTTAATTTCCATATTTGTAACATCTCTTATCATTCTTGATTGATTTGAATCTTCAATCATATCACATCTAGTCAATCTGATAGGCTTTATTATTTATTTTCTTAACTCTGTGAGCATATTTTTGTTTTCCTTGCCCCCCAATATAAAGAGTGATCCTTCGTTAAAGTTAAATGAAAAAACAATTATTTCAGGCTCAAATGGGGAGATCAAGGGATATATTTTTTTCTTGTGAAAAGATAATGAAACAAAGTCGTTCATCATTTCATACATAAAGATCCTCTTAGAAGAGGTACTCTCAGGCGATAGATGTTTAGAATTAATATTTTATTAAAAAAAAGAGGTCATTATGCATTATGATTATTTTTTCATTATTTTCTTTTATTTTATTTTTTTTCTCTCCAATTACTCAAGTTTATCCTCATAAGGTCAATGCAGGATGATCCACCTTGTCTTCTTGTGGGAAGATTTGTCGTAAGATAATATCTTACGTTTGATGTCGTTGGACTTCATTAGGCCTGAGAAGGTTAATTTTGTGTCTAAGAAGATGATGACATCATTTGAAATTATCTCTATAGAGAGAGTAGTATCTTTTCAAGGATGATTGCTCATGAAAAGGTAAAGGCAAGATTTTGATGCTTCAAGAAAGGATAAGGTCAAGTTTGTGTGTTTCAATGTTGACCACATATAATTTCAAGTGAAAATCAAGGGATTATGCTTTTTGGTTAGGGACGAGATAAGAATGATCCAATATCATCATTTATAACCTCAATTCTTAAAATAACTTTTAATTTAGTTGATATTTAAATAATTTCAAGGTTAAAATTTTCATGTTGCACATAACCTCATAGTGTAGCATTTTATTCGATATGTTGAATGTCAAGCGACTTTTAAGTAAAAAAAACAAAAAAGTTTGAACAAGATACAATGCAAGTGCATCATGGGGAATGCATCAGAATGCCTTATTACTCTTCAAATGTTAATGCTCATGAATCGACTAAATTTTGGACCTTGGATTTAGCGCCCCATAATTCTCACTAGTATGTCATGAACTCCCTACTTGGTAGTTGCATATAACATTGACATCATAGCCTTCAGGATACGGGGCTCTTTTGGCTTCAATTGAACAATAAATAGAATATTCTTATCAATAAGCATTGAGAGTAACTTCCCATATGTAATGTCTCGAATCTCGTGTTAGGAGTTTCAAGTTAACCCGAAAGGACATTAATTTTTTTTAGCTTATATGAAGCCTCAGCCCAAGTTAGAATGGACTTTGGCTTGGTTAAAGTCCAATTAGTATGAAAAAGGGGTGACTTTGGTTTGAGTTTGGAATTTGGAGGATCAAGGGAACAATTATACCAATTTTTATTTTAAAGGATGAAATCCCATTAATTGGGATGATATCATGCATGGGAGCTCTCTTTTTCCTCCCACAAGTTTATTTTCTTCCTTCTTTCTCCATTTTTTTTCCTTCCACAAGAACTTAGCAAAGGTTGGAATTTTAAGGATTGTAAGCATATTTTGTAGCTGCCAAGGTAAGGGTAATAATCTCCCCCATCAATTGTTTTCTTCCAAGCTTAAAATGTCCAAGTTTGGTGATGGGAACCATAAGTGGGGGTTAAGGGGTTTTAGGAAATTATAAAATCTCAGCTTATTATGGGTAGTTTTGAGTTGTATGAATCGTTCTTAGCTTTATCCTAAGTTCCATAATGAGAAATGTATTCATTTTCTTTATCATGATTAGTGAAGAGATTAGGGAAGGTTTTAAGACCAAAGGCAAGGAGAAATTGATTATTTGTTGAGCTAGAGCATTTTTTTAGCAATATAGCACTAAGGTAACACATTTGTAACTTGTCTATACCAGATGTAGCTTATTAGATGTGCATGGTTGGTTAGTTGAGTTCATGAAGCATACCCAAGCATTTTCATAAATAATTTCATTTGTGTTGTTTTTAAGCATGAAATATGACTCCTTTTAACATCTAAAACTCTTATAAGACTGAAACATTGCTTAGTGGACTTAGGAGGGATAATGGGTAGAGTCTTGGGTATAATTCATGCCCAAAACAGGGAATCAATACCCTAACTAAGGCCCGAGTATCAGTACTAGAGGAACAATACCGATATTGTTATTCAAATGGTTCAAAATAAGATATTCGGGGGTCAAAAGTATTGATACCAGTTCATAGGGTATCGATACTATCTTTAGGGTATCGGTACTTGAGTATCCATACCAATTTTTAGATTTGCATTCTAGTAAGCCATTTTGGTACTGATACTCAATGAAGTATCAATACTATAGAGAGGGTATCAATACCCTAAATAAGGGCATTGATACTCACCTCAATTTTTCCAAACATTGAACCTAAAATTCGTATCGATGCCAACTGGAAGAATCAATAATCTAGCTCGTAAGTACTGATACTCTAAGTAGAGTATTATTACCCTTATCATGATTTGGATAAGAAATCTTTCTAAGTTAAATATTTAAAAAAAGGGTTTAGGGTTTCCAAACTTATGAAATAAGTCTATAAGAAAGAATACCTTAAATAAGTGTATACACAACTAGAAATGGAATAAACTAGGATGACATAAACTAGCCCTCTTTTGACGCTCGAGAAATGACAGGACACCCGAGCTAATTTGGTAGGTGAAAACTATTGGTTCTCTAGAATTATCTAGTTATGTCAGCTAGTGCTAAGGCACTTCAACTGCCAACTGGGTGTAGAAGCCCCAAGACTCGACAGAGTAAGTTGGTCGGGTGTATGCTTTTGATGCAAAAATTTTAGAACTCACCTCAATACTTAAGGGTATTCTAG